GGTGGTCTGTGTCTTTAAATGCCTGACAAAGGTGCCCGTAAGCCGGTTCAAGATGTCGCGTCTCCATTGGCTCTGGCAATCTGTTTTTTCGACGCAAATCCAGGACGTGTTCTTCCATTCCTACTGGGCATGAAGGTGAGCGAGTGCGCGTTGGCACGCGTCGTGGAGAAGCGCCCTGTAAGCGCGTGCCGCTTAGGATCTTGTTGCAACTATCATAATGATACCCTAAGTGGCATGGCCGCATCCGCAGCACGCTAAATAAAGTGGCTGTCGAACAGGAACTAACGCGTCGGAAGCAGGGGCTAGGAGTAGCCCGGTGGCCCAAGGAGGATAACGTCCAGTGTCAGGTCCTTGGACTTGGCCACAAGGTTCTGCATCTTCTGCCAATGTGGTGCACATCGCTCCTTAGGTGCACGAGATTACAAGTCGCATCGTGCATTGACCCATCGTCAGGTATAGTCGCCGCGTAGCAGCTCACCATGGCATTGCGCACCGTCGGAAGAAAATTAATTCGTCATCGCATACCCTATCACAAATAACGTGGCGCTGGCGGAAAGTGGCGCAAGCCGCGCGCGCGTCTTCTGGCGCTAGGGCGCGGGGCTTCTGCGCAGATGCTGCGCGGCCCTTGCTTGAACAAGCTGCCATGGGACCACTGGCAACCTGTCCCCTTCATGATGACGAAGAAGACGCGGCGTGCTGATGGATCGTGCTTCCTCGATTGCCAATGTCGGCCGCCGACTGCACCTCGGTGCGCCGATTGCCCACCTTCCGGCGTGCTCCGTGTCGCCGGTGTTGTAGCACGTCTCGGAGTCGAAGTGATTGCAGGGAACGACGGGGCGCCCGCTGGGCGAATTCGAGCATCGGTGGCATCTCAGCGGACTTGGCCAACTGGATGTAATAGCCTCCTTCTCCTGGAGAAATCCTCTTACCCCCCCTTCCTCAGTATGCCAAAGGAGCCCTTTTCTTATATTGGTAGCTCTCCCAAGATAGCAGGAAATTCAGATGCGATCGCTACAGTGGCGGTGCCAATGTCTCACTGACTGCGATCCTGGCATTGGGCTGCAAAAGGTACGTCGGCTATATCGCCACGCGGCATCGAGCCACGCCGCGCCCCCACTGACGTTCAACCGATTTGCGCTTGTGATCGGGCCACCGCCTGGCCATGGCCAATTGAACTCGTGCTGTGGCGTCTTGTCGCCGATGAGATTTACGCGCACCAAGATCACGAAGCATGGATGGTCGGCCATAGTGGAGCTTGGTCCTCGACGCCGTCTTGCCGCGCACCGCCTCGGGGGTCGCGTTGCCGCGAGCCCCGGTAAACCCCCCGGCGCCGCCCGTGGCTCCCGTGATACATTCGTCGATGGAGAAGCGGCGCAGCTCGGGATCTGGCGCGGCGGCCCGCGCGTCGACCCGGTCTTGCGCGCGCGCGGCGCGCGGCGGACCTCCGTCGGATTAGGCGCTTGTTGGAATCGCGCATGGCGGCGGCAATGGCTCGGTCGCTGGACCCGGCGCCGATTGCGTGGGTCAATGCCGCCGTTGCCGGCGCTCTCGCTGTTGACGCAACGCGGCGAATGACCCAGCGACGCCCCCTGGCGGGGGGGCGCTCGGATGCGGGAGGAATGCATGCTTTAGCTATCCCTGGCGCCCTTCAATCGGAGCAGTCTGGGCGCTGGCCCCACAATCGGCCAACCGCCCTCCTGCGCCGGCAATCCTCGTGAAATCAACAGTTGCAACGCAGTCTCACCAAGGGTGCCCCCGATGCGATACGCCCGGGCAAACGCTGCAAATGCGATCGTCACTGCGGCACCTCGTCTTTGAAGCAGTCGGCGCTGCCCAGCGCGAGGTCGCGCTTCCACGGAGCTCTCTCGGCGCAGTGCTCCGCCAGTCGTCGCCCCCATCCCTGGGCGCTGTTGTCGGTGCAGCTCTAATTGCGCCGCGCGCCTCGCGGCCATCTGCCAGGTGATGCGCCCGCCCTGGACATCGCAGACGCGCCAGGTGGTGCAGCCTGATCGCCTTCTTCATCAGCTGGCTCGTTTGAAATATGTGCTGCGCGGGGAAGCGGCGGATAGTTGGCGCGTTCGTCAACCGTCTAGCGCACGCGGCGGTCGCTGAGCCCGCGCGCTGGCGGGCCGATAAGTGGCCGCCCAGTTCGCTCGGCGAAAACTCCGGGGAAACCTGGCGGGCTTGCCGGCTGGCGAGGCGGCCGCCGCGCGTCGGCGACGCCTGGTATCGCGAACACCGCGCGGGCACGCGGAGTGCGATCATCAGTCGCGGCACCGCGAAACCGTGCATGTGGCGGCGTCCAATCGCCAACCGCCATCGGAAGCCCCGGCCGCCGCCGGGCCTCCGTCGCGGCCCGGGCCGTTGCCCGCCATTGAAGCGGCGCCCGCTGGCGCTGATCAGGCCCATCAGCCAAGTCGCCAACTTGACGCAGCAAGCGGGGCCGTTCCCGGACCTCGACGGCGTTGACTCCCAAACGGCCCAGAGTATGATCTGGCGGTTGTTGTTCCGCAGATTCGGTCGCGACCCCGTGAACCGCCGGCCGCTGCTGCGGGAGCCTGCGGTGGCTATGTTGGCATTCAAATCGCTCTAGCCGCACTTGTCGGAGCGGATTCTCCCTCCCCGACGGACAAGGCACCCTGGGGCCTCGCAGCGTCATGGAGTCCTCGGCCCCGCGTTGCATCGGTTGAGTAGACGCCGCCGGCGCTGGGGCCGACCCACCATTCAGCGTGGGAACGACCTCCGGGGAGTCGATCGCGAGGCTGATGGCTTTGCCGAGCGAAATTTCGCAACGTTTCCGCGTCCTGCTTGGCGCGGGCGGCGGCGTGGCCTCTCTGCGTGAAACTCTGATGGAGGTCGCCCTGGCGGCGGTGTCGCATGTCGTTCTCTTCTGTTGGATTGCCCCAAAATGTCGCCGCTGGCGCAGCCGCAGGGGCCGTCGGCGGCGTCGGCGGCGCCCGGGCGGCAAAGATCCCCTGGGCGGCATGGCCAACGGGCGTCGTCCAAGAGCCATGCGTCGGTGCTCCTTCCTGGTCTTCTTCAGGGTCGCCCGCCATGGGGGCGTCCGCGACGTGGGCGCCTACTCTGGCGCGCCCGCCCATGAGCTGGGCGACGCTGCCAGGCGCCCTCTCCGACGCGCGCCTCCGACGTCGAAGTGCTTCGAGAAGATCGTCGGATCCAAGGCGTCGCGCCGTTGAGAGGCCGCGGCAGCGGCGCCGCTCCCGCCGGCGGCGCGCGCAGCGCCAACTCGAAAATAGCGAAAGCAGTGGAAAGCTGCCCGGGCCGAAAACTTCGGCGTCAGCTTTCGCGCGAGCACTTTCCCACCGAGCCAAGATGCTGTCGATTCGCTCGTTGGGGCGCGCCCTTATGTCCATGAGTTCGAGGCCTCGGTGCAGCTGTCGCTCGTCCTCGAGGCTCTCGAACCTCTGGGCCCGAACGCGCGGGGGGTAGGTGGCCGGGCCCGCGCGGACACCGCGCACCTCGGCGCCGAAGTTGACGGCGGCAGGCGGGGCCCCAATGCTGCTAGCGCGCGGGCTGAGCCTTGAAGGCCGCGCTGCAAGGCCGCAGCTTACTGCGATGGTGTCATGCGCCCAGAATGGGATTCCAGCCAGGCGTGAACCTCTCGAATCCACGCGCGGTGAGGGGCCGCGCCCGCGGGCTCCCAGCTAGGACCCCTCCTTTGGTCGCCCTCCCGCTCACGGCCCACAAAGCCACTTGTAGCGCCACTGGCCGCCGCAGTCAGTCCGTGCACCGCAATTTCCAAGTAGTGCATTCGATCGGATAATATACATGAAGCCTTGGTACGACTGGAAGTGGCGATAATGCCAGCCGCGTTGCCACGAGCGGCGGGGAACAGAGAAAAGTTCGCGAGCCGGTGATCCTGAAGATCGGATATGTAAGGATCGTCCGCGTCACCGCGAGCGAATGTAGAGGTTGTGGTGGAAGAGGTTGTCGTAGAAACTGTGGTAGCGGTCCGAGTTCCTCGCGGGCTCGACGACGGGGGAGAGGTAGATGTTGTCGTCGTCGTGGTAGCGGTCGAGGCGCCTCGCGCGCTCGATGACAGGCGGAGGAAGAGGAGGAGATGAAGGCCTTCGGAAGGTCGGTCGAGTCTCCTCGCGCGCGTGAGCTCCACGTAGTGGAATGGGTGGGCGCAATGGCTGCGTAGCGGTAAGTATCTATGGGGCGGCCGTCAGATAAGCGTTCGCCATGCTCGTGTTGTAGTCCACCAGGTAGCCTCCGCTGCGCATGTAAGTGCCGTTGTGCGCTATCGCGCTCAGGGCGGAGGTGAGCATATCAGCCGCGGTTGCGACAGTTCCGCTACCAGGTTTGAAGCGACAGAGCCATGCAAGTGTAGTGGCAGCGGTGTGGTAAAAAGGTGTGGGCGAGATGGCGATGGGAGGCAACAAATGCCCTTCTTGCTCCCGGAGCCGCACATCGATTGCAGGCGGCGTTGCCAACACTGGCAGGTTGGGCGGCACTGCATGTGAGCTGGGACGGCAGCAGTAAAAACAAACAAGTGCCCCCCATTGGGGCATTCCCTCAAAATCCCCAAGGCCCAGAAAAGGGCTCCAAGAGACCGAGAACGGCGAATAACCTGAGAACCCCTGACCCTCAGTACCAGGGCTCTTGTGGAGGGCAACACACCGATACCACTTCTCAACAGCCTTCTTCTGGGGCGCATTCTGGTCAAGATTTCGAAGCGAACCCAGCCACGGCGACGACGGAAGGGCAGCGGCATCGGTATCTCTCGGGCCCACGCTAGCGTGGATTAGGGATACGTGGATCTTATGCGCTGTGGCCAGATCCGTGGGTCTGGGAAGGTAGTCTCGAGAAGTGGCGCCAGTGCCGCCCGATCTGGTGGTGATGCGCGCTGATTCTGCATGGCAACGAGACCCGTCGCTAATCCACGCGCCTTAGCCCGTGTTTGCGCTTCCTCGAGTCTCCTCCCCATCTGATCTTCATGGTGGCTCAGACCCCCGCCCAAAGTCGCCCCCGATCACCTCCTTCTCGCGGCGCTCCTCCTCGACGCGCCGCGCGTGCGCCAGCAGGCGCAGCGCAGCCTTCGGGCGCGGCCAGGATTGGGGCGTCCAAGGGGGGGGGATTGCAAATCATGGCTCGGGGCTTTGCGCGCGGACGGGAGGGAGGCCCGGGGACCAGGGGCCATGAGACCTGGCGAGGTATCATGCCCCCCGCTGGAGGGGGAGGAGGAGGAGGAGGAGGAGGAGGAGGAGGAGGAGGAGGAGGAGGAGGAGGAGGAGGAGGAGGAGGGGGAGGAGGAGGAGCCATGATATCCCCCCCAGCATCACCCCCTTCGTGGACGCGCCCGGAGCCTCCATGGGCTCACCCGGGCCGTCTGGGCGGATCAGCAGCCGCCGCGGGGCCACGAGCCGCTCCTGCAGGGCAGAGGCCCACTGGAAGAGCACTGGCTGGCCGTCCGCCTCCTCGGCGAGCTGGGTCAACGACGCCCCCAGCTCACGGACCACCTTGCCATCCTCCTCTGCGTCCTCCTCTAAGTCCTCCTCCTCCTTCTCCTGCTGCTCCTCCTCCTCCTCCTCCTCCTCCTCCTCCTCCTCCTCCTCCTCCTCCCCCTCCTTCTCCTCCTCCTCCTCCTCCTCTTCCTCCTCCTCCTCATCCTCCTCGCCCATCCCAAAGCCAGTCGAAAGGGCGGGTTGGGCGTTTCGCCTGATACTTCCTCACCACTGATGGCCCTGAAACTTAGAAGTTGGCCACACCTTCACACGGAGGGCGGGTGGTTTTCAAAATGTGGCTCTCGCCTGAGCACCGCGCACATTCGTCTTGAACATTTGAAGGGGCTGCACGGGCTGAGGGCGGGTGGTTTTCAAAATGTGGTTCTCGCCTTAGCGCCGCGCGCACTCGTTCTTCTTTAACAGTTCAAGAACTTCACATATGGAGGGCGGCTCGTTTTCAATGTGTGGCTCTCGCCTTAGAGTCTCGCACCTTCGTCTTAAACATTTGCAAGAGTTTCACGGACGGAAGGCGGTTCCTTGTTCAAAGTGTGGCTTCCGGTTTAGAGCCGCGCAGACTCGTCTGAAACATTTGCAAGAGTTTCACGGACTCCTTTTGGTCAACGTACCAGACATGGTATTTTGGTCAGACTCAGGACTGGGAGGGCGCAGCAATTACGTGGATCCGCTGTCTTGAAGTCCCAGGAACTGTGCTCTGGCAAGATACAAGATCGTCAATACGCAACAATTGCGTAAGTTGATTCGAGTCGTTGGAGTCCCGAGAATGGTGTTTTGGCACGCTTCAGGGCCTTCAAACGGATGTCTCCCAACGAGGCAGCTCCCTCAGTGGACATGGACACTGTAAGAAGCCTCTGAGGAGGGAGCTTAGAGGGAGGGCTCACTCCAATATCGTTGATGAGCCTTGGGTTTACATTGGTCATTATTCTCCTTCTCCTGCTCCTTCTCCTCCTCCTCCTCCTCCTCCTCCCTCCCCCTTCCCCCCCCCATCCTCATCCTGCTCTTCCCACCTCCTTTTCCCCGAAAACCTCCAATGACTGCCGAAAGCCTTCGAACCCGCTCTTCTGTCTTCTTTCCTCCTCCGCCTCCCCCCTCCTCCCTCCTCCCTCCGCCCACCTCCCACCTCCCCCTCCTCCATCCAATATGCTTACCCACCGTCTCCTCCTCTCGCATCTTCATGATAGCTGATAGCTGGTGGCGGCATCGGAAACCGAACGGATGCTGCCATTTCCTGATCCCCCTACTCCGATTCCTGCTCCTCTTCCGCTTCCTCCTCCTCCTCCTCCTCAGCCTTCTCCTCCTTTCACCCCTGACTCCTGCCCCATCCCTCCCATCCCTCCCCCTTGACATCTCGACGCCGTGCCCGGGGGGGAAGTGAGAAGGGGGCAGGCCTTCCCATAAAGCGGCGTGGCTTCTCAGAAGTTCGCCGGCTTTCTGAGAACTGTGCTGTCCTGGGGGAAGGCTTGGAAAACTTCTCAGAAGGCCCGAGGCCTTCCGAGCCTTGTGCGAAGGCCCTGCCGAGCCATCTGAGAAGGCCCGTCCCTCCGCATTTCCCCCCAAGTCTCGCCGCCGAACATCCTCCTCCTCCTCCTCGCGCCCTCCTCCACCTCCTCCTCCATCTCCTCCTCCTCCTCCTCCTCCTCCTCCTCCTCATCCGCCTCCCCATCCTCCCTCTCACCTTCCCCCGCCCCATCCTTCCCATCTCTCCCCTGACATCCTCTTCACCTTCCCACTTGGCATCCTCCTCCTCCTTTTCACCTCCCTCCGCCCTCCTCCCCCCGTCTTCCCCCCGCCGCTCCTCTGTCCCCGAGCCGCCTCGTCGCCCAGGTGCCCAGCCTCGAGCACGAAGGCGGGGGCCCCGGCGCCGGGCAGTGGGTAGCGCCCCGGCAGCGCGCACAGGAGTGCGGCGGCTGGCAGGCAGCGGACGGATCCGGCGGGCCTCGGGGCACAGTGCTCGCAGGAGGAAAGCTGGGGGAAGAGGAACAGGGGGAGGAGGAGGAGGAGGAGGAGGAGGAGG